TGCCTTTCTGTCAATGAAGAAGAGGGGCGAGTAAACCAGGAGCTCTCGAGGCTTAAGTGTTATCTTTTAGATCTGCCCCCACCACTCGCCGTAACACGGGAAAATCAAACCATTCTTTGGCACAACCAGAGGGCATTGATTGATAACAATAAATACGGATAGTCAAGCGGCAATTGGGCCCTGAATTGATATGCAAGTCGCTCAAAGCTGGTGGATGAATGCAAAAGCTATCTTAACCTTCTTTATAGTTCTAACAAGGTGAGAGTAGAATAGATACCTGGGAGCTCAGGCATTCCAGGAAATGAGAAAGCTGATTACCTTGCTAGGAAAGGCTCTGCACAGGTGCGGTTGCAGCAGAGCCTATTTGTGGGATAAGCCTTGGCTTTGCCAAAAGGCATATTAAGGCGATTGTGGCCAATAAATTTATGCTACACTGGGTACAGACCAGGAAACAAACCCATTCTAAGTCATTCCTAGTATGGCCCTGCCATAAGAAAAGTAATTCACTTCTTCTAATGGACAGGAATACCGTTAGGTGGGTGACAGGACTGTATACTGTTCACTGTCAATTAAATAAGCATCTTTTCAATTTGGGTGTAAGTGAGACCTCCACCAGCAGGCTATTTGGCCTGGAGGATGAAACGGCCTATCACATCATTTGTAGATGTGATAATTTGGTTAGACTGCGATACTTTCACTTTGGATGTGATCATATCACTGACCCTAAGCACTGTGAAATGATTGATCCTATAAGTATCAATATGTTCGCAATGGCATCAGGCCTGTTTTAACTGAGTTAAGGACAACACACAATAGGCCTTTTTGAGGCCGCAGTGCACCTCTTATGTCGGAGCAAAAATAAATATACTATATTGGAGTTCTGGCAGTGGCCAGCTTCTCCGCTTAAGTCCTGAGTGTATGTTGCTTTAGCATCCTCACTCAGCCTCCACTGACTTTCAAACAGTGATGCGGCTAGGAGAGAAGCACTGGGAACTCTTTGAGCCTTGATTTGTCCTTCACGTGAGAGCGGCAAAGCATGGTTCGGAGTTTTCTTGGCTGAATGCAAATATTGTATACAGGAATGAAAGTGTGACAATTAATTTTTTTCTTTTATTTTTAACATATATTCTTCTTTTTCTTTTAATGTATATACTGACTTCCTTCAATAATTTAAAGTATATATTTTTACTTATTTTTTCTTCTTAGCTTGTATTTTAATTTGTATATATAAAAATATCAAATGGCCTTGATTGTGGCAGCTTGTATTGTTATTATTCAAACAAATTTATCCTATAAAAATATTCATAATTTATAACTTGGCCCTAAAAAAGTAATTTGTAATATTTTGATCTATTATGGTAAATGAATTATTGTAATAAGATCTACTTATTTCTATATTATTTTGCTGTTCCTTTACTAAGCAATATATTTTGCAAATTATACAGACCGGCCAGCTAGTTAAGTAATAAATAAAATAGTGAAAGAAAAACTTTCCATTAATTATTTCAGAAATAATTCATTCAAAAATATTGATTATTATGTCAAGAGTGCCCAGATCGCCGCAGCGATAAAAGAGTGATGAAGTGGAGAGATCAGAGCTATGACTTCACAGCACCTACAGTGACCGCCACTGTTGGAGCATAGTGATTTCACAGCACCTACAGCGACCATCAATGTTGGAGCACAGTGATTTCAAAGCACCTACAGTGACCATCACTGTTGGAGCACAGTGATTTCACAGCACCTACCACTGTGATCACCAGCTCCAGCCCAGTCACTGTGACAGAATCACAGGTCCACCTGTATTGATTGCTCTATGACTACTCTGGATATCTTTCCGCAAAATTTGCACAGCTTTAGCAACGATCCTCAGCCTCTCATATTCTTTATTTTTGGCCGTTTTCATACCAGGGGCACACTAAATCTGTTGATGCCTGGAGTGATCAGTACTCTATCTTCATATCTCCTCTCCAACTCAGCCTTGATGGTTCGCCACTGTTACAAATCTCTCTACAAAGAGTACTACTAAGTGTCCTGTGTGTCTTGAGGACACCGTTAAAGGAAATAGCAAAATCTTTATGGTCAATGAAAAGGGAATACTGGACCTAATTAAAGCAAATAAAGAACGGAAGGACGACAAGCACTAAAGTTCCATGGTTTGACATCCCTTTTTTATTCACACCAGTTTTCATAAAAATTACAACCGAACTGATATAATTAAAAAAAATGGTAAGGAGTTATTCACATCTAAGGAAGAACTCATCAGACCAAGAACCTTCATATCACGAAGGATTGCATAATTGGCAAATGCTCAATACCTATATGAACAATGCTAACCTGTTTACGCATTAAGAGGATGAAAACGTGAATCCATATAAAATTGTGAGTGTAATGTTTGAAGTTAATATTACACTGTTGTAATATTTGAATATGATAATTAAAAATAGCTTTAACTGTAGACTAGCTGAAGATTAATTTGTAAATGTATGTATATTCTTTCTAACAGGGAATGCAAACATCTACAATCCTTTTAAATGAATTATTTCAATGATGAATAGCTTAGACAATATGAAGGAATGTTTAATGAAAAATGATAGGTTTCTGCCACACGCAGGTAGCATGCATAAACGCCACAGACTGACATTATCTGAATCAGAAAGTAGTCTAGAATTGTTTAAAACAGAAATCAATCGTCATCAGATAATGATGAAAAATTTGCCTTTTTTAATGAGCCCCCAGTTTTCAGGTAGCAGGATCTGATTGGGAGACTCATTTTATTAATATAAATGCGATGAATATTCAAAAAAATTCATTCAAAATTTTTATCAATTAATGTCAATTTTTTTATAGAGCTTCGGACTGTACTACAGAGAAAGCTTTTTAACCACCATTCCCAGTTTCTTAACCTTCAGCAACAGAGAGAGGTATTACCATGTATATATTTCCTCATGAAATCAGTGACATAAACAGTATGCTCAATAGGTTCAGAGGTGGTGCGTAACAGAATATTACGCATATTATTGGATTTTACGATATGTTTACAAGTCACAATCATGAAAAAAATATCACATAAACCTTTAATTTTATAAAAACACCTTATATAAAATTTCCTGAGGTCAAATACAATATTATTTATATAAATTTTCAATGTATTTTATGGTAAAAATAAAGAGTTAGCTAATCAAATAACAATTCCCCCCCCCCCGAATTATATCCTGGAAACTATATAAATTGGGGAAAACATGAATACAATTAATTCTGTTAGCTTTCATTTTATATAGAACATTATTGTTGCTAATACTCATAGGTTCCTGGATGTAAGTGGAAAACTGAAAAACATGAGCTTTTAGAATGGTAAATTTAAATTTTCAAAATCCCCTGGCATGGAATAACTGACGTTTATTTGATGCTTTAGGATAGTAGTAAATACTATAAATCAAAAGGCTTTGTAGTTTTACATCCTCCGGTTCAATAAAAAAATTGTGGAAGGTTAGAACAGAGGTGTACAAGGGTATTCATTATGCAAGTTGCACTATTAAAATTTTTGAGGGGTCACAATAATTCATCATCGACCTTGGGTTAGAGCGTAGCCCCTACAATTTTCTCGTACTGGAAAGACCTCTATGTTATTCTGTACTCAATGAGGTCATTCCATGATAATCCTTGAAACTCAACAATACCATCAGCAATTGATTGGAGGTCTCAAATAAAATTAGTTAATACACCCTTTTCATTTGAATAAATGTTATTATATAATCTTTTAGATATAAAAAGTTTACATAACTAAACCGATGAATCACATTTACACAAGTAATTTACAAAGTTTATAGGCTCCTAAACATAGAACATGATATGTCCTGGAGATATGATACGCTTTGTCAGTATCGCTGAGGATAACTGAGCTTTGCGACTACTATAATGCAATAGACAGTAATAAAACTATATCGAAACCACCAAAGCACCGTGTGTGTAGGAGCCTTTAACCATAAGTTAAAAAAATATAATCACTTCCAGTGCTCAGAAAGTTATAGGATTAGTTTTAATATTTTCAGGAACTACATTAGGTTTTAGTTATAATTGCGATTTTCAACTCTAAAACTGTAGTAATAAATAACCTTAATTTTATTGTGATAATTAATCTATTTGATGCTTTAGTTGCTAGTTTAGATTGTAAAGAGTTGGCAATTTATTTAATAAGATTTATAAAATTTTAATATTGTATATACTTATATATATAAAGTAGAAATACAGAGTGTTATGCAAAAACATCCTCATACATGTATTTACATATTTATTTATGAATCTACTTTACAGGTACACACAATGACACAATTCTAATGCACTACCGTTCACTGTGTTTGAAGTATAAAACCCTTTATACCCAAATTTATGTGTCAAAGCCACAGCTATCTTGCATAAAATAAGCTTTCCAATGAAAATTTTGTTGTACAGACATTACTTCAGCAAATTATGGACATGATCATCAAGATTGATGACCAACAATTGACTCAAATGCCTATTAGCTGTCTAATCCACTCTCTACATCAAACATATTCAGAATTTTAATAATTGTTGATCAAATGTTCGGTGGTGGGCTGAATTTCTAGACAATTTTTCACTAATTTTTTTATCTACTACCTTAATAATCTTCTGTTTCTCGTTTAAAGCCTAAGTCTTACAATGATGTTTCGTAGAAATTTGAAAAAAAAAACATGTGAAGGAGAGAAAAAACAAATTAGCTGTTTGGTATAATGATCACAGGACTATGGTAAAGTTCATCGAATAAGGCTTTAATTATGCAGGCATTTATATACTCTACTAAATATGTAGAGGTGATGCAATCTAAACTTTGACTTAATACTTATTATTATGAAGATGTTTTTCTACAGCTCCTTAAAACAGGAAATTCTTTAAGTCGAGTTTCATATTTAGAAATATTGGAATTAATGAAGTAACTATGAGGACAAACACAATAAGCAAATTAAGGGTATTAAAAAAAATCAAGATGTTCAGGAATTGGATTTATTGAAGTTTGAGTTATCAAGAGCTGACTAAACTAACCACAACTAATAATAAAGAAAATTTTTTTTATCTACCAACATATAACTTTACATAAAATATTCAGTTTGATTTAGAAGAAGGTTTAGACCTTTTATGATAATTGTTTCTAACTGCTAGATGAAAAATGTTGCTTTTTCTTAATAAATTTAGTTTTGTATTGCCAAACAATACCCTTTAGTGCTAGGAGAACTGGAACTTAAAAATTATTCTAATAAATGATATTTTGAGTTTAAGAAGAAATAAACAGGATGACGAAGAAAAAGCCTTTCTTTAATAATTTTGTATTTTGAGAAACAATGTAAAGATGAAACAAATTAGGTCATCAAAATTATTAAAAATCACAAGTAATTAATAAAAATTCATTTTTGTCACAATAAATGCAGAGTTAAATTTAATTATGTATTTTGAAGGTGATAACTGCCATAAAATAGTTATTGATATTAATTACTGATTATAATAGGTATGAATAATAGATGCATCAGGAAAAAAAAAAAAATAAAAAAAAAAAAAAAAGATTACATGCCAAACTCAATGCTTTGTTCCAGTTATAATAAAAAATTAAAGTGAAGGAGAGTAATAATGAAACTTAAAACTCAACGAAACCAATTCATAAATTTAATATTATTTGAATTTTCTGAGTAAATAAATGTTCATTTTAGAAGTTGAAACACTAAAAGAATACATCGAAATTATGAAAATAAGAAACTATTAATAATTTCATCAAGGATAGTAATACGATACATTTTTCAAGCTTAAATAATACAACTAACGCATCCGATACATATGATCTTCGTGAAGATCACATAATTCTCCTTCGAAATCGACAGAAATATTGAAGTCCAAGTCACGGTTATTCCTGTTGTTAGGCTTTAATGCAAATGTTCCATTAATGATTTCGTTTCTTTTTGCAGTAATGTATCCTAAAAAATAAAATAAAACAATCTAATTAAAAAGCTGAATGCACTTTAAAAATATATAATTATACTAGATGCTTATATAACTTTTAATTTACATATATAAAATAATTATTCAACACAACAGAAAATTGAAAAGAAATAACAAAAAGGTGGTTAGATGACTCTCAAAGAGTAACATTTAACAATTTTATATAATCCAATCCAAAAATAAATAGAAACCCACAAAAAGGACTATCTATCTATACAGGCTCTACAGCTTAATAAGTTATAGCCTGTTTTGATGAGCTTCTTTGCTGTCAAGAAAGGGATTGGCATATCTGGCTGATCTTTTCCGGCACCTTCTTTAGCTAATCGGTCAGCATTTTTATTATCTGTCAAATTACAGTGTCCTGGTATGCACTGTTTTGAAATTATATTCCTGTCCCCTTTCCAGGATAGTCCTCAGAAAGAATATCTGGTCGATCGTTGACGTTCCTCGTCTGAACCCGTACTGGTACCACCCAACCTCTTGCTTCGCAAACGGCAATAATCTGTGTAACAGAACTTTTGATAAAATTTAAGATGCCCATGGGAGCAGAGCAATACCGCGATAGAGCATTTCAAAAAGGATTAGATATTATTGAATTAATTTTGTCGATAATGTTTAAAACCACTAAAATTAAACTGTTCTGAAGAAAATCAAGCTAATCTAACAGGAATAATTCATTTATTGAAACAACAATCTGTAGGATTTAAGAAAATTCAATTTACCAAGAATTGACTATACATGTTAAGTCAATTAATCTTAAAATATTAATTCTACTTGCCAACCAATATCTATTTCTAAGTCTTATTTACTGTCTCCTCTTCAATCCGCACCCTTTACAAAGCTGCTTATTATAAAAAAATATATACAAACCTTAAACACGTAATATCAATTTTGAACTACTTTTGTTTTAAGTTAGACTTTTAACACACATAGACCATTTTGCTAGACTTGGTTATTTCGACTCAAGGGATCTCAAAACATGTATTTCCGTTGAAAACTGATATTCGACAAAGTTCACAATCGCAATACTTTCCTTTACTATATATTTCATAGATAGGTAAGAGAAAGTAAAAATATGGTTCAGTGGGCGCATCAAAAAACTTTTACTTACCAACCTTAGAGTAGATAGGTAAAATTCTGAATTTATCGGAAACATTTATCACGAAACTTGTTGAAAAAATAAAATTAATAACAATATTTCGCATGAAAACCTTTTTAAGAAAATATGAATAAGTAATACCTAAAAGTTAAACTAACAATATGAAAGCCCTGTAAAGAAGGGTATTGGGTATCTGTAAAGGGAGAGGATCGACAAAGGTCGGGAGCTCTCGGCTTAACATAGCTGAGCTTCCTACATAGCTTATACTGTGTAGTATCTTACCCTTATTTCTCCTTTAGTTACCAATAAATTTTCTTCATTCACAATATTTAACCATTTTTGACAGTTTGTCAAACCAGCATTCCTTCCTCCGAGTGATATCGAGTTCGTATCGTAAGTTTTTTTTTGTTTTTTTTCAATTATTTTTATTTGAGACTTTTAGTTTTATTTATTTATGTACATTGAGAAATGTTTTATTTTACCTGTAAATATTTTTGTAAATAACTTAGTTTTAAGAATTAATTTCTTTTATTTCCATTTTAATTCCATTATAACTTTTATAGACTTTTAATTATTTTGTTATCATGGATCTTGTTAATACATCGGGTGATGAATCGGAGGAAGAGACAACATTTTCCGAAATAAGCGAGACAGATTCGCAATATTTAAAAAGAAGAACACTCCAAAAGCGCAATAGAAATTCTGCCCCTGGATCGGCGGGTAACTCACCTACTAAGAAAAAAAATAAAGCTACCAAATCAAAAAAAATATCTGAAAATAGCAAATCTACACAAAACACCCGCAGTAAAACCACTGCAGCCAACAAATTAGAAACAGTTCCACCATCCACCTCAATCAGTAATTCTGTTACTACCAATATTTCATCAAATAAAACTCAGGAGCCAAAAACATTTTCGGATCCAGAACCACCACCTATTTTTGTATCAAAAATTTAAAATTTTATGTCCTTCGGGCAAGAAATTGCTGACTTGATAGGACAGCCTAATTTTCGATGTTATTTAAGAGTTAATGATATAAAAATTAACACTAACTCTAAAGAAAACTATAAAAAACTCATCGAGCATTTTACATCAAGAAAATACCAATTCCACTGCTATCAACTCAGACAGGAAAAAGCGTATAGAGTAATCTTGAGAGGTCTGCATTCAAGTACCACCACAAACGCTATTAAAATCTGATTGGAAGAAATAGGGCACAGTGTCAGAAATATTTCACCCGTATTACATCCTAGGGAAAAATATCCGTTACCACTATTTTTCGTGGATCTGGAACCAGCAAAAAACAATTCCGAAATATTTCAGGTAACGAGATTAGTATACTCAACAGTCCGTTTTGAGGAACCTAGACAGAAGCCCATAGTAGTGCAGTGCACAAACTGTCAAAATCTGGAACAGGTTTAAATGTGAAATGGTTAATTATATCAAATAAAAAATTAGAGGTACTTAGGAGGAAGAAATTTTGAAAATTAGTAATTTAAACTCTGTTAGAGAACCTACATTATATTAAAAACAGCTTAATTTTACATTGATATAATGAATTTTATCAAAATCGTTAAAGCCATTTTCGAGAAAGTTACATAAATGTGTAAAATTGATGATATAAAGTGGCACATCCAGTTTCATGATTTTAACAAAAAATTTGCTCTAACATCCCAAGCATATACAAATCTTAAATACACAATTTCAGTTGTGTACGACTCGACTCTTTGTTTTGAGCTTGACACATCACATACATACACACAGATCATTTTGCGGGATTTGGTTATTTGGACTCAGATCTCAAAACATGTATTCCCGTTAAATACTCTAATTCGAAAATACCAGCCTGTCAAATTTTAAAAACTTTTGATTTCATAATTCAAAAGATACTGGGAGTGACAATTGGATTATTTGTAATTTTACTCCTGATAACTTTTAGATTACAAAATCAAAACTTTTTAAAAATATTACAAAAAATTAATATGGATGCATTGACAATATTGGAACGAACAACTAATTATGGATAAATGAAATGAAATGAAAAATTTTCTTCATTATCCTGTACACAGTAATTAAAATGTATTTACTGTTTTTTTTTTTTTTTGGTCCTTCCCTTCCTCGCCGTTAAGGCTATACAGGATTTTCCCGGGCCAGGGAGTGTGGGCGGGGATTTAAAAGACTCCCCCGGCACCGGGACGCGAACTCGTGACTATTTTTATATCTTTAATTCATATGTCAGGTTGCCAGGCAATGGCGGTGCAGTGCACACGCTTTAGCCCATTCGGCTACCCCGCCCACATATTTACTGCCAAACTATATTAGATAATAATATTATGAACAATTGAAGGCTTAGAGGACAGGAAGATTCGATGGCGACACCACTAATCCCTGGTCTACACACCTTCCTCCACCGGTCACCGTGGAAACCCAGCTCTGACAGATCAGCCTAAACACAATCCTCCCCCTCCCACCTTCATTTTGGTCAACCCTTCAGATAGCGCATATTAACTTCTTAGGAATATTTTCGTTACTAAGCCCAACAATTTTACACACTACAGTATAATCACCTTGACTATATTAATTAGATAGAGTTCATGCAATTCGGAGTTAGGTAACCGCCTTTTCTTTTTTTCCTTCTTGCCACTTATGACACACACGGTTTCTGCAGTTGTGGGTTAATATGTTTGGTACACAGACTACTGCCAAAAAATGCTTCATTCTCAACATTTCTTATTAGACAACATTAAAGGGTAGTTTAATGATGAGAAGAATATATTAGGTTTAACTTTGGTATGACTTGGTGCACGGATGTGCACCTTATTCTGCCGGATCAAGGTTATGTAACCGTCTCAATTCTTTGGTTGACTCATCTTTCTTTGGCACACCTTAAAACATTGCTTGTCTCTTTATGTAAGCGGCTACGTTATGCATCCATAAAGAACCGTTGGTAAGATCTTATATATTCTAGTTTTTAAGTTCTGGGACAGGAGGTATAAGCTAAGTAATTTTGTCAGAGAAAAATAACAAGCATTCACCACCTTCAGCCAATTTCTCATTCTCCCAGATCTTGGTAACCAACAAATATGCTCAGTATAGTTTATTGGACTTGATGTAGTTATTAGTTTATATTTTATACTATTATTATAATGAGGAAAGAAAAGAAGGAAAGATATATATATATATATATATATATATATATATATATATATATATATGTAGTAATCGAATAATGTAATGTATAAATTATCTCCAAATAGATTGATCAGTATGCTGTGTGTAAAGCAACCCTATGTAGTAGGTCAGCACTATTTTCAATAAAGTATTTCTCTCTAGCAACTCCAGCTTCTCTCCATGCCTTAATAGCTACTTTAATTTCCTCTTTACTCGGTTCTTCTATTAATGACTCAGTAGTTTGGTACATAGAGGGAGGAAACAAATCATTAATTTCGGAATTTATAATATTGTCATTTTCATCCATAATTTTGTTGGTTACTGGTCCTAAACATTTATGTGATTTGTTTATACGTTTATACATGCCTCTTACATTATTTTCAATTTTATTTCTATTATTAAGATACTCCCTTCTTTTTTATTTTTGAGTAATTTAGTAGAGCTTTTAATTTAGCAGCTTTTCTTTTTTTTTTTTGCACATGTTTAAAACAATCTTCATCAAACCGGGGAGCAGGGTAGCTCAGTGGTAGGGCACTGAGCTTCCAATGCAAAGGTCCCGAGTTCGAACCCCGGCTGATGGCAGAAAATTTATTTATCTGTTTCATTGGCCGTGGGGCGACCTTGGGTCAGAAGTCCCTCCTGGGGCACACCCAGCCTCTATAAAGTGGGTACCCTTAATTAAATAATTGATTAAGGGGGAAAACCTGGCGGTTGAGCGTGATCTCGGTCAAATCACCTCCTTGCACAACCGTTGACCTAGAAATAGTGCTTTCCCTAAATAGTACTGAACCCCAGACCCTTCATGGGTTGTAGTGGTACAGGTTTTTTTTTTTACATGCCTCTTACATTATTTTCAATTTTATTTCTATTATTAAGATACTCCCTTCTTTTTTATTTTTGAGTAATTTAGTAGAGCTTTTAATTTAGCAGCTTTTCTTTTTTTTTTTGCACATGTTTAAAACAATCTTCATCAAACCACGACTTGTTCTTTTAATTTTCCTTTTTCCTAAAACACGAATTACAGACCTTTTTAATACTATCCCCGATCCCTATCCATAACTTGTCTATAACATCACGATCCTCGTCAGAAAGATCCCAAAGCTTCAAATCTCTTCCCAACTTCTAGCTTGAATTAATTTCTAATCAATGGATTTTTTAATTTTTACAGATTAGAGTTTTCTTTTTTATTATTCATATAAAGCTTTTGTAGAAGATACACAATTACTAAGTAATGAGCAAGTGATGTGCCTATCACATGGATTTGACTACAGAAATGGGACGACTAAATGTGTTCCTCCTTGTCTACAAGATAAAACACAACAGAAAATTTTGTAATTCAGGTCACTTCCTCCTGCAAAAATTGAAAGCATCTCTACCTTAATACTCATGAGGATGATAAGTAAGCAGAGACCTACATACCTGATAATTTTTGTGTGAATCATTGGAGATTAGAGAGTTATCATAATTTTTGTGATTGTTGATAAAATTTCGAAGGGTTCAGCCTAAACATTAATTTCGTACAGAAAAGTTTCAACTTTTCGATTGCTATAAAAATGAGTATTTAAGAGTTTTCTGAGGTACGAATAATGAATATAAACTTTGTTTCTCACTAAAAAAATATTTACATCAACATAGCTACATTGGTTGGTCCAATCTGTTCCCATACAAAAGCTATCTGACAAATACATTTTTTCTAAACCAGCTCGGTACCTAGAGTATATTTCTTTATGAGAAACAAAGTTGATATTCATTTTTTGCACCTCAGAAAACTCTTTAAAATGATTTTTTACAGCAATTGAAGATTTTCTGCATGCAGTTTTTGTCTAAGCTGTTTATTACCCTTCAAAATTTTGTCGATAACTACAAAAATTGTGATAAATTTTTCATTACTCCCTCCACTGATTCCCATGAAAATTACTATTCACTATTTTCAAAGTTATGTTTTGAGTGAATCTTGAAGTTGGATGAATTTATTATTTTGAAAATAAAGTCACAATATTGACTACTGTAGGTGTACAATTAACAAGAAAAATGGAGATTAATGGTAAATGTTATAATACTTTTTATCAGGAACTGATTTCCTGATTCCAAGTTCCACTTGGTTTCTCATATATAAATCCCTTCTCAGATACCAACATACCTATACTGTACCTAAATGACCATCCCATTACCTTCACCTCCTCAGTAAAAAACCTAGGCATTTTTATAGACCAAACCCTATCCTGGAAACACCATATTGCTCACATTACCCGACAGTCAATTGGTACCTTGAAACTATTCCATCGCTTCCGCCATCTCCTACCCATCTCCACACGTAGACTCCTAGTAACTTCCCTCATCTTCCCCCACCTTGATTACGGCTGCGTGGTGTACGGTGGCCTCTCGGCAGAACTCGGGGAGAGACTGAAAAGAATTATGAATGCCTTCATAAGATTTGTCACAGGGGCCCTGAGGTATTCCCGTGTTTCACACCACTATGCTGAATTAGGATGGCTCTTCCCTTCCTTCCGAAGACAATATTTCCTAGGCACATTCCTTTACCAAATAATCAATAGTCATCGTCCGTCCTACGCATACAATCTCCTACAATTCAAATCATCTATCCACAAGATCTCGTCCTTCTGACCTTTACACTCCTTTCCACAGATCTGCATCATTTAAACATTCCTTCGTTGTCCGTTCCACTGCATTCTGGAATTCCATCCCACTAAAAATCCGCCATGCATCATCCTTATCCACCTTAAAAAAACTCTTATTCCAATTCCTCTTCACAATCCAATCAGACGCTGGTTAAATACATACTATGTTATAAGGATTTAATTTTCTTTAGACATTATTTTTTTTTTTTATTTTTAATTGTTTTATTCTGTGTTGAACGTGAATTTTCATCACCACTCACTAAGCATTGTGAGTAGATAAAATTTGTTTTTCTTAAGTTCTAATTTGTTATTCATGAAATGTATTTTATTTCTAATTATCTTCAACATACTTCTCGCTATGTGTATATATATACTTTATTTTATTTTCTCTTCTCCTAATCTTTACGCATAATCACTTAAATATCTTAGGGAACATATTTATATCATTATTTGTTTTTTATATATTTTTTTGTTTTAGTTTTTACAATTTCGTTCCCTACATATTAACAGTTATTATTATTTTTTTTAATTTTTATATTCCATCACTACAATGCTTTACCTATAAAATAGATTTTCCTTTCCTTTCTAATTTCATTCAGTGATTATTATGCAATTATTTTAGCTCCAATATTGTAGTACTGAACCCCTATTACCCAACTGTCCTCGTTAATTTATCTTAAGAGCTTAATTAATACTTAATGTATTACATGTATTTTGTCATTATTCATTGTAATAAGTCTTTTGACCAGATTTGTTGTTAATATATATGAACAATACTATTATTCTAAAGGGACCTAGTCCCAGAATAAAGATGATTTTTCTATTTCTATTTCTATAATTATATAATTGTTTTTAAATTAAAAATCTATTTGCTTTAATACACTTATTATAAGTTTACCTTCCAAATAGAAGACTGTCTGCTTCCAGTGGGTATATGGACTTTCTGGACTGGTGGTAAACCATACCCTCTTGTGGCACTTCGTGAATTCAATGGTGAAGTAAGTGACTAATGCCTAAAAAATAAAGTTACAGGCTATAAAAAATGCTTCTGAAAACCAGACTTAATGTTCTCATCACACCATAAGCATAAGAATAGAAAAACTCGAAGGATGTTAATTGCTATTTGGATTAAATGGTTACACAAGTAAAAAACTGACAACCCTCTACTAATATAAAGCACTAACAAACAAATAAAAACCGCCAATTATTAGAAAGAGCAAGAAAAGTTCATAACATTCTTCCAGTTAGTCAATTGGGTGGTCATATGGCTCACTGGTAATTGAATAAAGCATACAAAATTAACCAAGTACATCACTACACTAATCTATTAAATTACAATTTTAGCCTAAGGATTCAAAGCCAAATAAACATAGGTTTATGTACATTGAACAAGAAATTTTAAGAGAAATATTTAGTTTAGGAAGGAATAATTCTGAAAAAGGAAGAACAAAAAATTTGCAAATGATGTTAATCTGTATAAATTCATCAAGATAGGACAACTTCATAGTAAGGATATAGATTACAAAGATCTCAATTCGGAGATCTGCTACAATGTATAGCAGTTTGAAATCTGTTTCCTTTTCACTTAGTTGTCCAAGGATTTAGTTTTTGCAAGTATTGTTTTCTATCCAGATCAAGAGTACTTTTATAATCTCATTGAAGGATGTAAGTTGATACCTTGTCTTTTATATTAAATTTCATTTTGTACATGTGAGAAGTTTGTCTAATCATTTTTTTAATTTGCTGCAATTTAGTACAAAATTGAACTCTTTACAACCATTACATTTTGAGAAACACTTCTTCAAAATAAGTAATCGGTTACCCAATGTCCATAACACCCCCTTGTAGACAACAAGCATTTTTGTCCAATACAAAGTTTTGGAGTTATTCAGTAACAACAAAACTTTCAAGATTTGAGGCTATTATAAAAGACACACAGGTCCTATAAAGCTGTAAAATTGGTTTCTGACTATTAATTTTGGTCCTTAATGAATATTAAAAAAATAGAGCTTTATGAACTTTTGTCATTACAACTTCAATATATATTTAACATTTTTCTCAAAATTCTTTGATATTTCTGTACTTTTTAATGTTGCTGGTTATCTTGCCATTAATAAGAAAACCATTGAGTCTAAACATTCTGATATCATAAATCTCCATGACTCTTCTCATAAAACTAATATTTTTTTATGAAATTTCACTAACAATCCCAATTTTTTTTTTTTTTTTTTTTTTTTTTTTTTTTTTTTTTTTTTTTTTTTTTTTTTTACTTCTTGGAGAAAATGGTTGTCAATTGCGAAAGAGGAGTATCTGAGAAATTAATAGTTGTGCAGAGCTCAAGCTTAATTTAGTATCAAATTACAGTAAATTTTATGTAAATCAACCAACTAATAGAATAAGTTTTTCTGTTAGATACATAGTTTTTGAGTTATTTCAGGGTATTACACCAGTTGCAAAGGTCTTGTTGAAAAATCGGACTTGGGGGAATTCATATAAATCTTGATTAACCATTTCTAAGAGATTTAACTAAAATATGAGGTTATCAAATGATCACAGATAAAATTAAATGAGAATTCTCTTCCACAAATAGTTTCTTAAAAAGATATAAAAAATGTAATTCACCTGATATATACAACCAGACAAAATAAAATACTTACAAAGAAAAATAAAGATTACTTCACATATTCTTGTTTATTTTAAATAATATAATTTATTATATTATATAATAAGAAAAGACAATACCATTTTAAACAATGAACTACTTTATGACCAATCCAAAAGTCATCAAAAATGTTGGGATTAAAAAAAAAATGTTATATGCTGGTCAGATATAATAGAAAACTGTAATTACAACAAAAATAGGTTAATAGGAAACAAAAGTGAGTTAAATGCATTTAAAAGTAAATAAATAAATAAAGTAATCTCATTTAAAAAGAAAAAGGAAAAAAAAAAAGGGCTGCAGTACCTTTACCTGGACATAGTCGTTTCTCGATACTTGCAATGTAAATGATGAAGTGAAGTTCAGGTCATCTTTAGTCACAGTATAAAGGTCCACTTCTTTTAATAGAGCACTATTGGTTACCACCTGCTTAGGGTCAACAACATCGACTAGTGGTTCGGTTATTGCAACAGACCTAATGAAACAAAAACTCTGTGAGTTATTGGAAGAACCTTTATGCATGGCACAACAGTCAGCCATAAAAATAAAGAACATATTAACAGTAACTTATAAATGCTAGGACTTAATATCAGAATTCTTTGGGAGAGGGTGGATTAGGCTTTTTATTTAAAGAAAGGACAACGGCTTTTTTCCAAGAGGTAGGGAATACTGAATTCTGAAGGGAGTAATTATAGATAGATAATAAGGAGAAGTGGAAGGATTTCAGGGAGAAAATTTTATTAATTTGACAGGGATGCCATCTGGTCCTATGGAATTGGTATGGAATTTCATTACAGCTGTTAAAAGGTTTGTGGGGAAAATGTCAATAAAATAAATATTATTGTCATTAAATGATATCTCTGGAGAAAAGCCGGTAGAGGAGAGTAGGCAAGAGGTATTAGCGATAGATATAAAATGCAAGTTTAGATCATCAAGGGCTCAGGTAGGGGATCTAGAAAGTTTACGAAATGATAGCCTTTTCGATTTGATATCAGGAGCTGAGGAAAGGGTTTCATGACCGTAGGTAGCTTTAGCACACCGTATTCTTGTCTGTGTCAAGTTGTGAAGCACCCTGAACGCTTGGTAGTCATCTGCAAGCCTATGTATGTCTAAAACATCTACGGGCAGCGTCATGCCTCTTCTGCAGATCTTTAATTTCCTGACACACGCAAGGTGCAGGCTGTTAACGAAAAGTAGAGCATGGGTATTGAGAAGATTGGTGATAAGAATATCAACCATAGAGAGGAGAGCAAGAATATATTCCATTCCAATCTAGGGTTTCTAGTTGAGATAATATTTTTTCTCGAGTAAGGGTATCTAGATGGCGGAAGGTGATAGTCCAACAAACCTGCTGGTATGGTGAGTGGGGAAAAATGGAACGATGAAGAGGTGCAACGAGAAAATTAGGTTTTTTAGAAAGGATTTGTCATTGAAGTGAAAGAGGAAATTGGTATTGATTTATTGTTTGTGAATACAGTGTTGTCCTAGTATATTTGTGAATATCCTTATATTACTTTTAATTATTAGATTTTTCAAGATTGCAAAGTTTATTAGCCGAATTCTATTATTACTATATTTGTTTAGGCTTTCTTTACTGATCGGTAGAAAATAAACTTCTTCCCTTCCCACCTTTACATTAACGTCTCCTAAAATTATTGGCAAGCCAACTGCGAATTTTATGATAAACTGGAGTGAGTTTATAATAAACTACCATGAAAATAATTTTCAATAGTTTCATCTCTTGGTTCTAGTCTTTCCTCTCCCAACATATCCAAACAGTCTTCATACCCAATCAACCACTATCTGCCTATCATTCTTTATCCTTGGGAGTTGCCCAGGGTTTAAGCATATCTCCTCTCCTTTTCAGTTCCTTTATTAATGACCTACATAATTATGTATAAACAATTCTCCATTGTTTCGACCACCTTTGGATTCTTAGATCTATCTATCCTTTTCTTACTTTGAGTTATTGGTAGCATATGCCAAGATACAAGAAGACATAGATTGAATCAGTGCCTTGGCAAATGTAAACGTATTAAGGTTAAATGCTTCCAAAACTCAGGTCATTGTCATTGGTTTTAAGCCCCTTAATAGATCCCACACGGACTTTCCCATACTACACCATAATGACCTGTTTTTGAGAACTTTGGCAAAAATCAGCGTTGGTGGACAGTAGTTTTATAACTTACCATGTAACCAAATTATAAAGTTTATGTACTCGTTCGATGCACAATTTAATGTTCTTTAATTCATTAAAGGGTACATTTTTCGCTTTGATGCATCGTTTAGAAGTTATAGGTGAAAAAACAAAAGAATATAAAAAATCTGACTTTTTTGGCTATAAAAAGTTCTCCCATGGTGCCCTGCATTTTTGTAACTCTGCATATACAAGTTAAAAAAATAAAAACTTTTCTCACATTTTTCACAATGGATTTTCAGCTTCGATCCTAAAATTACTGATCCAATATTCTTTAAATCAGCTGCCATTTTATAAAACAACGGCTCTGGAATGGCAGACAAGGTTTTTTTTTACTCAGAATAACATACACTTTCGTAATTTAAAATCAAACTTTCACCTGCAATGAGGTCGATTTTTGGGACTTGGCTCCAGGGCTATTATGGGTGCGCAACGTGGCCTCTTACATTAAGGTATGAGCAACATCTTAAGGTTTTTTAATATAAAGTATTGCGCAGAATATTTGGATACCAAAGGATGAGTCAACCAGATAATTTATACAGTTACACACAACTGAATTGCGCAAACTGTAGTACTAGGTTAATATAATTCAAATGATTAAGTTGAGGTGAATAGAATGGTCATGTAAAATTGCAGGGCTTAGTAATAAAAGAATTCCTATAATATTAACATGCAGACTGGCAAGCGTCCGAGCAGTAGGCCAAAGTGAGGGTGAGGAGATTGCGTTAAGTCTGATCTGACGGGGTTGGGTTTAGACAGTGCCCACTCAGTGAATGGAAGAACGTCAATTGGTGGTATCAGCATTGAACCTTTGGGTTCACTTAGCATTATTATAGTTATTATAACAATAAAAATCTAGCCATGATTTGATTTTTTCTCTAAAGAATAATGATGCGATCCCTGCTCTGAAGTGCTATCAATATATAAGGTTAATGCCTTACCAGTTCAATTCATACTACAGAAATGTAAGGAAAACAAAAATTAGAATCCATTAGAAGAATGATGGCAAAAAAAAAAAAATCATTTAAGTTATAGGAAAATTGCTTACAACACCTATTGTATACATTTAAATATGGTAATTTCTATTATGCATAATGAAATACTTGAACCTTATAAATTTGATAGTTAAAAAAAGTAATTAGTAAAACAATCACTGACAAAAGGAGGATATTACCTAATAGAACTCATGTTAAAGCCATAAACATTATCCCACCAGTTGATTTTTTCATCTTTATATTGCCGATCCTCGATTGCAGTAATAAAGAGAGATGCTCGATCAGGAAAAAGAAGGCCACCTATAGAAATCAAAAGAAAATACATTTCAGGTATTTAAAAAGATTGTGTGCACTACAAGATTACAAATATGATCTGAAAAGTCGATAGGCCAATATAGCTACAGCACTGTAATATATAGTTTATTCTAAATACAAAAAATTAAATAAATACAATTAGATAAATTTACCTTACCAGTTTAATATCAATAATAAGTATTAAATGAGGGAAAAAAATGAAAACATAACACAATCTAGTCTGGACAGCTGGTCTGAAAACATCTATGAATAGATTGCATATTTAAAGATTTTACACAGGGTATAATTATTTTACATTTTCATTAAACATCTAATACTGTACAAATATTATATCAGTACAGAAAATATTGAAACTCTTAGTAAATAGAAACTTGTGGTCGGGGAGAAGTCTACCATCAGAAAGGAAATAAAAACAACGGTCAAGCAAAAGAGATGACAGAATAACCAAATTAGAATTGTCATTTTTAAATACATAATGGACAACCAGGGAGGGTTCAAGGACACAGCTGGCAACAATTGGGTATTTATTACGGAGAGTAAAACATTCTTGAAACGTGACTACACACTTGTTCACTCTAATAAGTGTGCATATAAGTATTTACTTAGAGATCAATTGAATGTTCAAAGATAACTAATTATAGATGAAAAAAAAAGATGTATGTAGAAAAGTTAGATGGCAACAATACTCTCCCCACATACCCAAACTCAAATTGAAAAAAATAAAAAAATGGTACAGCGCACGCTTACACAACTTTTATTAAATAAATAATTACTTCTTCTTTGATCGTTTTTTTTTTTTTTTTTTTTTTTAAATCAATTCCCCTACCTCACCATTTCTTGCATATGTGGGGTTGTTCTAAAAGTACAACCAAACCTAAGGAAGGTCGAGATTCATTGAGTAGATTCGCCACAAAATAAATTTCAATCTGCCCAGGCATGATGCGAACCAGCATATTTTTGTCCTCTCCTTCCTTGCCTTTTCAGCTATATGGTTTTTTTTTTCTGAACCCTGGGAGAGGGCGGGGGATTAATGATAAGCGTTAAGAGCTCTCTCCGGCATAACTTCTTTACTTAATCTGTAATCTTCGGTTTATCAGATTGCCAGGCAAAGTGCATTTTGCACACATGTTAACCTCTTCTGTCAACCCTCCTCCATTTCTTCTCAGACCTTCTCTCAAATAGGTAGGTCGGGGATTAAAACTATAAACGCCAATGGTCTTTGCTGGGATCTCAGGAGATCCCCCAAACTTCCATAGAGCATCCCTTCATAGGTTTAGTTTGGCTAGGGCTGCTTTCTGTTATATTAAAGTTCTTATTAAGGAGTGCTTTCATCCTGTTATGACCATCCTGAGTCTATAGAGCACTTGCTCTTTCCTCCTCATTTTACATCAGCCACCATCAGAGTTATAATGTGGAAAGATATTATTTCATCTTTAGCATACAGCCACTTTATTTGTATAGATCACCTCCTGAAAAGTCTGAATGAAGTTTATTATGCCTTAATTTGCTAAATTGGCTGTCTAATTCCCATGACACCCTTTAATAGTTTTCATATTTTTTTTTTCTACAATAGACTCCAATCACCTCCTCTGTTCCTAATATTCCAACTTTGTTACTGCATGATAATCCCATCAAATTTTACCCCACCGTCAAAAACTTTGGAATAACCTTCGGTCAAACGCTTTCCTGGAAAAACCATGTATCCAATATTTCCCGCCATACCATTTCCACTCTAAAATGTCTAAATTATTCTAATCACCTATTTCCATTTGAAACACGTAGGCTCCTAATCACTTCCTTAATTTTCCTCCTCTTTGACTATTGCTGTTTGGCATATGAGGGCGTCTCGAGGCGAAACTAAAACGTTTGATAAATTACTTTGTATGATTTTTATCTTCAGGATAACAAGGGACTGTTTCCCATTTTTATGCGGAATTGAAGTGACTTTATCCTTCCTACCATCGTAAATATTCCCTGGCATCCTTCCTCTTTCAAGTCATCCAATCCCACCGTCCTTCATACATCTCTGAGCTCCTTCAATTCAAATCCTCTGTGCAATCCCGGTCTTCTGATTTATATATAAGGGCCCACCGAACCGCTGCTTTCGACAGATCTTTTATTATCCGATCCTCATCCCTTTGGAATTCCATCCCTTCTCACATTCGTAAATCTAATACCCTTCCTACCTTAAAATCCTGCCTGTTCAATCATTTCATATCCATCCAGTCCCCATGAAATTGTAAATAGATACTAATGTAAATATGTATACAAATTATCAGTTCGTTCTTCATATTTTTTACTTTATCCTTTTTTTTTTTTTTCAATTTTTTATTTTTTATTATTAACTAATTAAAATCAGAAAGTAACTTATAATTTTTCATTTTTTTTACTATGACTGTTTAATTACTCTGTATTTTTATTTATGTATCTCTGAGGCTCCTTAGCCCATATTAATGTCTTTCTGTATTATTCTAAAGGGACTCTTCCCAGAAAAATAAATTATTATTTTCGAATTTCACACTTTCTTGGCTTTTGCCAGAAATATTCACCTACCCAGACCAAAGTTAAGGGTTAGGCTCAAAAGTTTAACTATGTTTAAGAACTTCCTTATGATGTTCGCTGTGCCTAGGAGAACTGCCTTTTGCCCTTCTTCCAACACTTTCTCTGGCAGATTCAAATTTTTCGACAGAGCGAACGGTATCGTCTGGGATGAGGCCATTGCTAGAAAAGTATTATTATTATCTTGGCATTGAAATCTCCCATGACTAATTTTATGTCATGTTTTGGAGCCTGGTCCACAACTTTTTTTAACTGATCGTAGAAATCTTCTTTCACCTCATCCTCTTTTTCTTCAGTTGGTGCACACACGTTAATAATCATGATATTAAACGTCTTACGAGCAGCACACTTATCCTTTCATTAACTGGGGTGAAGTTTATTACTAACTTCCTTGCGACCGGATTAACTAAAAAATCCAGTATCAGCTGCCCCATTTTTGTCATTTCTCCCGGTATAAAACAGTGTGTAGCCGTCTATAGTGGTTTCCCCACCATCTGGCCACCTTACCTCTTGAATGGCTGTTAACAGTATGTTGTACCTTTTTACTTCATTAACTACTGTTTGGGAGGCTCCAGGTCTGTATAAGCTCCGAACATTCCATGATCCAATATGGAGTCCGTTGTAAAAAGCTGGAGTCGTTACCATGTTAAGAAAGTCAGATTTTAATTGTTTAAAGTCTGTTACACTTAACTGGTGCCAAAACCCGGGACGTCAAGAGTGCGGAGGTATGTTTTTTTTTTTTTAGATCAGGTAGAATTCACAAGGATGCCTGAAGGAGTGTCACTGAGGCCGGCGGTCCCTCTGAACCTACCAGAAATCCCTCCATTACCGCAGGGAACGTTAGCCGCGGCACACACCAATGCGATAGAATGGATGAAGATCAGGGTAGCCACTTCACAGGACCTGAGGAAGGCTGTATCCGGTCTCGAGCCCTTCACAGTAGAAACGGGTAAGCTAAACCATTTCTTAAAAGATGGAGATCATCTGATGGCGAGAATAAATGTGAATATAAGAGAAAATCACATCAAAGCTGGAGAGGCAGAGGCTCTAGTGTGCAGGGTAAAGAGAAGTATCCTAAACCACATACAGGGGGACGAAGAGACATCATGGGAAAAAGTCAAAGAAGGTGTATAGAGACGGCAGGTGGACCAAAGAAGAGGACATTTTTCAAATGTCAAAAGATGAAATCTTCACAGCAGTCCAACGGAAAGCTTACCCAGGGAACTCTCATTTATCGAATGTGCTCAAGAGATGGTAGATTCCAGCACCAGCGAGGAGGAAACATAAGACCCTATGTTTATGGAAGGAAATTTCGCATTCATACTGACCATAGACTCCTACAATGGGCAGGCAAACTGAAAGAGTCCTCGGCTAGAGTCGCACGCTGGAAAGAGGAGTTCCTGAACCAATATAACATGGATATTGTGTACAAGCCTGGGAAAGAGAATGTGGTGGTGGATTGGTTATAAATGCCATAGAACAGGACATAGAAGGATCGTCGAGAGACGTGAGACAATTCCTAAGGAAGTCGACGCCAGAGGAGAAGGGAGAACAAGCTATAGAGGAAGATGAGGGTGGAGATGTTTCCAAAGAAGAGGGGAGCACAGCGGAAGAGAGGTCAGTGGACATGAAAGAGCTGGAGAAAATTATTAACGACAAAGACAGCCAGATAATTTGGAAGACCAGCATTTCGGGCCTAATGAAAGTGCAGTATGATAAGTACGGAAACCGCAGGATAACAACCATTTAGTCACAGCCAGGAGTGAGGGAAGACCAGATTTGCAGAGCTCTGAAGAAGGCTTCCAAATCAGGGAAAACTCACTACTTATACGTGGGGAACGGGACAATCTGAGATAAAATAAAGAGAATATGGCAGTCTGAACGAATATGGCTAGACAGGATGTTCATTCGATTCATTCATTCAAGTTGATGGTGGAACGAAGAACAGCAGAAGGAGGTGACACTTGCTTATCATCAAGGTAAAACTAACCACCATGGAGCGCAAGAGACATTTCAGGCGTTGCGTCATAAATATTTTTGGTGGGGAATGAAGAAAACAATAGTGGAACTCATAGGGGCGTGCGAGGTTTGCTTGAGTACAAAGTATGATAGGAACTCCCCAAGAACAATGCAAGAGAAGACTGAGTGATTTGCAAGTGGATACATTCACGTGGAGAGGGTATAACTGGGTCACGCTGACAGACCTGTTTAACAAAGCAGCGATGGCGTACCTGGAGCAGGATCAATCAGCAGAGACAGTATTAGGAGCCCTTCATAAGTGATTCCAATTTTATGGAGTGCCCTACCGGATAAGGTCCGACGGGATAATACCAATACCAGAGAATTTGATAATACCAAGATCAGAACAGAAATGAAGAATTTGGGTGTAAAGTGGCATCTCAACACTCCGGGGCACCCTAAGAGCAGGGAGAGTATAGAGAGAATGCACAGTACTCTTAGTGACCATTTAAGAGTATACCAGGTGGAAAAAGGGCTGGAACCGGATATGGCAATGTGGAAGGCGGTGGAAAATTTAAGAGTAAAAGAGGTAATGGAGAGATTAAAAATTCATTGGGTCCATTGTTTATCGCAGGTTAGGCTCTAATAGGGAAAAGGAATTGTGGAGATACGAGGACTCATTCAGGGTGATAATGTTGTGACCATTGAGAGTATTGAAGAACTGAAAAAAAGGAAGGATGGTTCACATTGGACAGTTAAAATTCCCAATTTCAGAGCCAGAGCAGCTGTAGAATTGGAGTGCACATGTCTCCAGAAACAAGAGTTTTTTTTGTATTTTATTTATAAAGGTTATTTATCCTTTTTTTTTTTTTATTGTAATGTATATATTATAACTTGGTGCATGTATGTGAGGAAAAGTGCAGTGCAACGCTAAAGTGTATTTCGTTTAGAGATTTAATTGGTGTTACAAATGTAAAGAGAGAAGTGTATTTTTTACTTCATATAGAAAATTTCTTTTTTTTTTGTTTTTGTCTGTTTGTCTAATTATATAAGATTGTAAGTACTGAACACTCCATACCTTTACAGTGTGAGCAAGAATGTAATGTTTTTTTTTAATATATATATATATATATTTTATTTTAGTAGGATAAAGTTTACAAAGAGCATCCATAAACTGGTGGGGGAGGGGAGTTAAGGTACGGAGCAGGACAGTATTAGCGTCAATACCAAAAGTACTGATATATAGAGGACTAGAAGGAACAATGAAGCAATCTTGATTCCAACGCCATGCGTTTCATTTAATGAATAATCTATTCCTTTTTTTAATTGTTTAAGTCTGTTACACTTAACTTATATATATATATATATGAAAGTGAAGGAAAACTTAATAAATACTATTAATGAGTGCAAGACCTGACATTTTTTCATCCTAACAATTTTAACAGTCAACTATGGTTTTATTTCAACAAGAAATCTTGGGACTGTTTTCAAATGAGCATTACAGATTTTCTGTCCTAACAAGCCCGGAACCTAGTCCAAGGAGTCAAATTCTTAGCTCGAACATGAGGAAAAGGCTACAAACCAGTGCAGGGGTGATGAGAATGATTTCGGAACCCTTTCTAGCTAAATTATCAGCATTATCATTTATCCTCTTAAACAAATAAAAATACACACAATGAAATATAAATGTCATTTTGTATAAAATATAAGAGTTCTTTATAAAATATAAGAATCCTTCTTTATAAGCGGCTCTCTTGTCGAACTAAAAATATTTCATGGCGCTTAATTATTTAATAAAATCAAATAAATAATTGAAATATCCAATTGTAAAATGAAATAGCTAGTGTTAAACAAAATAAATATAATACATTAGATGGCTATGAAAAACATTTGGTAATTAATTGTTTTAAATAATGTTTCACACCATCTATAATTTTTACTTTCACCTCCCTTTGTCTGAAAATACTTGTTTCTGCTAAGAAGAGGGAGGTAGGTGAAAGTTGTGAGATGTGCGCACCACACCAGATTTTTTACAACATTTAATTTTGTATTATATGGTTGCTAAGTACTCCAATTACTGCTAGGCTGTTGGCATAAATTATAAAAAAAATTTATTTCAGTCCATTGTACAGCAAAGGGGAGGCACAGCGACAAATTGCTAGTACTTCAGACTGTAAAACTGAAGCTAATTTGCCTAGAGCTATAAATGAATCTTGACTAAGTTCATCTTTCCTTCTAAGTTATCTATTTAGCAGTTTACACTATTACTTGGTCTGTGTTGCCTAGTTGTACCAATATTGACACAACATATTATTTCAAGTTATTCCCGGATTTGAGTGTCAAGAGTTTTAAATTAATAATATTCATTCTGTAACAAAAAGAATTACAGCTATTCTATCATTAATTTTAATCCAAATATATGCCCTTTCCATATCAGGGATCCTCAACATATAGCAGAATGAACAACAATGTATTTAATAATTATTTTAAAGGAAAACTATGATTATTAGTAATTAAAGATCCAAAAGTCACATAGTTGACAACGCTGAATATTCGTGAAAAATGGGATAAGGCAACTTTTCCCCTAATAAAAGTTAGATTTTTGAGTTCCAATCCAAGATATACAAATATTGTCTGTTGTAAAAACCATATCAGCATTACAAACTGATGGCTAAATAAAAAGTTTACTTAACATCAATACAGCTGTCAAGATTGTCTTTCAACATAATATAATAATGAAAAAAAATACAACTTACCTGGCTTTAACCATTTATCACGAGCAAATAGAACTGTATCCAACATAGACTCGTAGAAGAGACAATACCTAAAAAAAAAAAACACATATATAATTGGATATAGATTGAAAAGGAGATACTTAAAAATTGATGGTTGCAAATAAACAAAAAAAATTCAAATATATATTCATAAAAATATATGGAAATTCAAAAATTTAGGAAACATTTGAATCAATTTGATGTAATTGTGACTACTGAGATCACCATTTCTGGTTGCCAAAAACAAGCTTTAAAATAATTTTTATTCTTTCGTTTTTGGTTATGTTGTGAGAAGTCAACATACAGATTTGTTCATATTTCTCAGCAAAATTAGAAATTGCTAACTTCATTCGGCTATTTGTTGTTTTCCCAGGCCAGGGGGAGGGCTTCTCATATTTCCTCATCATTTAGATGATCATCATAAATGAGTTCTCCACCTATTTATGATTCTTGTCTTATCTGTGAGAAGGATGCTGTCTACATGTTTAAGCCTAAGAGCTGAAGATCCCAGAAGGATGAGACTGAAGTGCAGTAACCTTTGTGGTATCTCACTTACAGCCTCTGCATATAAGATCCTGTCTAGGATTCTGTTCCTAAGACTACTTTCTTTTCAACAGCACGTAATTGGACCCATACCAGGCTGGCTTTACGAAAGGGAAAGCAATCACTGACCATGATCTTTTCCTTAAGGATACTGCTGGAAAAGACCAGGGAAAATATTATACCGCTCCATCACTTTTTCATAGACTACCAAGGGGCCTACGACAGTGTGATACAAGAGGAACTGAGAAAATGAGAGCCTGGTAGAGCTTGATATTCCAAGGAAGACAGCTTGCCTTGTGAAAATGACCATGAAAAAGGTGAAATTCATGGTGAAGAGAGATGAGAAGAGAAATGTCTCAGAGCTTCATGACACGCAAAGGTCTCAGACAAGGAGACTGCCTTGCTTGCCTCCTGTTTAACTTTGTACTGGAGATTGCAGTTTGTACTTTGTGCAGTAAGATTTCATGTACAACATGTACACCATAAGGCTTACATCTATCACCAACCTTGTGGATACTAATAAACTCAATCTCTGACAAAAATTCCTAAAAAAAGTACAAATATTTCTGTACGCTGAAGACGTAATGTTTGTAACTAGCAAGCTCTTCACTTAACTCCAAGCACTGACTAACCATACACTAACACGTTTGGGAAAATAAACAGGAATTTAGACAGCACTACCTATACCGTGTTAAGCAGAAAAAAAGGAAGAAAATGAACAGATTAACGATTGCAGCCAGCCAAAGGTGAGAACTGAAAGTAGCTCAAAGAATTATATATGAAGATGCAATGGTTCCTAAACTTCTTTATGGTGTACCTATCTGGGAATCAGGAACAACTAAAAACAAGTGAACCTTAAAAAATTAAAAAGAGTGCAAAGATTAATTGGAATTAAAATTAGTAGATTCTTCCACACACACGCACCCACATAATATCATATAATGCTGCCTGCATCCTTTCCAGAATATTACCGATATAATATAAAATTAATGAACTGACTACAATTTAAAAAAATAAAAAACAAAGACATTAGACGAAGTGAGATAGGATTGAAACAACCAGCAAAACAATGAACACACCCATCATCACATGTTAAACTAACACAATACATAGAAGATACAGAAAATACTGATACACTTAACTATCGATATTGATGGAAGTAAACAGAAACAAAACACAGGTTTTGTATTCACATTTCACCACAATTCCATTTACTACGACAAAAAATATAGAATAGGTTCACACTGCTCAAATAATCAAGCCAAAAAATTTGCAGTCATCAAGACAACAACCTAAATCTTAAAACTGACAGACCAATTCTGTAAATCCTATAACATACGAACTGACAACAAAATATTAATTGACTTCAAAATTATTTAAAATCCAAGACTTATAGACTGAACGAATCAGGCATAACCTAATAAAGATTGTGAATAAAACCATGAAAGTGCCAATTCAATAGGTCAAAGGTCCCAGCGGGGACCTCGCCAACGAAAGAGCTTACACCCCAAGCCAAATCAGCTGCTAAGGAAAACCACTTACTAATGAGTACTTAGTGTCTCTTTCCTTTATTAAAAAATCCATTAGAACAGACTGAACTCAAGACTGGGCAGACACTGGCAACTTTCTATAAAAGAATGACCCCTTTACAAATACATGCTTTATCTTATATTACAATATAAAACTATAACAAAATAAAAAGTATCCATTACAAACTGACACAATTTCTGTCTGTCATAGGACGGACCATCTAAGAATTATTTTAAAAGATTTCATTCGGCAAATACAAATTCGTGTAACTGTGACGGAATAACTAAACAAACATTCAAACAAATACTTTACGACTGTAATTTATACGAGCAAGCAAGATACGACCTGATCAAAATCTATGTAATGCAAGTACAAACATGGCCACTTTCAGAAGACAAAATATTATTAAAATTATTTATGATGAACTTTATTTCCAAGATATACCTAAAATAACATTCAAATCCAAATCATAGAACTATTTGAAGTTATATATTTCCTTAAATGTATATATATATATTTGTATTTCTATTATCTTGATTAACATTTATTTATAATTTTAATTTTAAATATTGCTATCGTTGTTGTTGTCGTCTACGCTTTAAAGATGATAATCGAGAAAGCACGCGATAGAAATAAAAGCTTATTCCTAGCTTTTTTGGATATCAAAGCTGCGTTTGACTCTGTACTAAGAGAAGAAATATGGAAAGTTCTGAGAGAAAAGAACGTGCTGCATGGTTTGTAACTCACAATACAATCAACAAACCATGCACCAAAAGGTATTGTGAGAATAAATGGTCTAGTTGAAGAGCTTCCTGATGGAAAAAGGAGTAAAGCAGGAAACAGTCCAATTTCTCTACTGGTAATCATCTTTATTGATGAAATAATAATAATTTGTTAAGAAAAGAACAGCAAGAGCTATACTGGCACAAGTATATGCCTAATACGCCTACGACATTGTCCTCATCGCCAACTCTACAAATAACCTCCAACAAGCCACAGTAAAGTGGGAAGCAGAACTGGGAAGGAGGGGCATAAATGTTAATGCCAGAAAAAGCAAAATGCTGGAAGTAGGATGAGAGTCTGAACAAATACAAATAATGATGAACTTGAAGTCGTAAATGAGTTATCATACCTTGGAACTGCGATCAGCGGAAAGTTCAACCAGAAATGTTCCATAAGAAAGGAAAAGCTAATAGTGCATACTATTCCATTTGCAACACAGTCACAGGAAAGAAAGAGGTAAATAGAGATAAGAAGCTCTACATTTTCAAGGCTTTATATATGCCTGATATTGAGAGAACTGGATTCTCCCGGACAACAAAAGGTACTATTTCGCTGGCGCGGTCCACGACAGCGACCGCTATTCCACGCTGCCAACCGCTGTTGGCGTACCTATTTCGCTGAAACTGCTCACTGAGGTTGTTATAACCTGCCTATAACCTTCGAACATTTCGCTGTATCTTCGAAGATAAAAAGATAGACATAATATAATAATAAAAATGAACATCCTATAATAATGAACATCTCTGACTACCGCTTTTTTATTTGAGTTGGAAAAAGAAGAGAAAATGTTGATATTAAGAGAAGGAATATCAGTATTTCGATGAGATGCTCATCATCAAAGGCCCTCTGATATTAGATATTATTAGTTTGGAAAGTAATAGTAATTAATACATAATTGATTAGTAATAATTACATATATTTGTAATTAAATCCCAGCAGGCGATGTTTTATAGTTTTATCAATAGTAATCAGTAAATCACCACTTTAATTAAAAAATACAAATCGATTTTTCAATGGGTGGATTTTAGTATTTGCCTGATGATAAAATTTGTTGGATTCTTCAATATCGTTTGGATTTAGGTATATTTGTATTTCGCTGTAAAATACTGCTGTTGGAATAAATAAATAAATAATCTTGTTTCTTCAACCTTAAAAAAATAATTTACTATTGCATTGTTTTAGTTTTAAACAATATTTGTTATAATTTTGCCAGACTTGAAAGAAACATAGGAAATAAAAGGTATCGACGTGACTGTTATCATCAAAACAATGCTCTGATATGATAACATAACCTACAACCGCCGAACCACCAACAGCTCCACTGCTTCAAGAGGAGTCAGATACGAGCAGCTTAGATATGACGTCATACCTAGACTGCCGAGCAATGCCAGCGAAATAGGTTCCTTTCTATTCAACTAAAGCAGTGGTCAACCGCGGGCAGTCGCGGTCGTGGACCGCGCCAGCGAAATAGTACCTAAATGGGGCCGAATAACAGCAGCCGAGATGAAATACTTGAACACAAGGAGGGCAAATGGGTAGGGTAACGAGAGGTCTAGAGAGGGAGATGGGTGCGGGAATCTCCCCAACTCTTCTCGGAGCAATCGAGCGTTAGTGCCCTACCCACTGCTTGTGAGTTCCCAGATTTCCTTATCCCTATCAACGCCTAATGTCACCTCCATGTGGCGGTCCCCAGGGGTCCGATGAGACTCGTGGACGACAGAGGCGGGATTCATCGTTTCTATCCATATTTAAGTGAGATAGAAATGATGAACCTCTTAGGCACCCAAGCTAGGTTTGGGTGCTCGAGCTGCGGCTGAATGGCAGAGGGTAGGTAAAAACATACAAAAAAATATATAAAAAATTGTCTTTTATCGACCCTCTTGGGGAACTAGGCGACACTCCATTGAAAGTAATGCTGGCTGTAGGGAGGGTGGGTAGCTCTAACACCAACTCTAGATGTGAAACTCTTGAAGACTATAATTGAATACGATATTGATATTCTGTACAAGGGGAATAAACCTACCTTTTGTAATAAGATTAGATCGGAGATCATAGACATAACAGTAGCGACTCAAACGATTAGTGTCCTTATAGATAACTGGCATGTCTCTGATGAAGAAACATGCTCGGATCATAGGTATATCAGATTCGATATATCTGATAGAACACAACATGATATGGAATATAGAGATCT